TATGAAACTATCACCTGTATATGTAGTTTATGTCTCCCAGTTGATTCGATACGCAAAAGCATGAGAATAATTTCTAAAGCGATGCAAGCTATTGTAAAATAAGTTGATGATACAAGGATATCAACAGTCCTATTCTAACTTACCATTTTGCATATTCCAGAGCCAATACATTGACCTTGTTAGCAAATACAATTAATTGTTAAATCGAATGTTGACTGACGTTTTTCATACAAATTGTTAGGCCATTTCTTTCACACTGAATTGTCTACAGATTTTTTTTATCTCCCCTTGATGACAAGGAACAGACGGGGATTGTGACCTATCGACAGGGGATGTTTACTCCTCCGTGGTACCTGATCCCACCTCTGATGTTTTTTAGGTCTGCATTTGCGTTGTTCCCGATTTGTATTGTTCCAATGGACATTTAAGCTTGATTACTGTTCCTATCGTCATATCCCAACAAGATGCCCTCAATAGTATGAAGATAACGAACAGTATTCACCAAAAACACTTTCTCGTCATAGTCGCTACTGCGACCGACAATACACTCTTACTAAAGCGAGATTGTTAATGGGAAAGGTAAATTATATCCGGAAGTGTAGGAGACATGGTAAATAGAAAAATTATATTACGGTTCAATTTCACCACTGCAAAAGATGTTGAAATGTACTTTGATATATTCAGAATTCATTCAAACTTTTCCAGTAAGCATTTTTTACGCCATTATTCATCTGCAGTTATGTATAAAATTTCATTTTGGACAAACAAGCTTCCATAAGGAATTAAATTTTCTTGCGTCAGACTAAATTTACATGCTAAACGAAATACCAAGGTGACTTAAACCAACAAAATCAGCTGAATGAGTTGAATCGAATTATGGGTTACTACGGATACTACAGGAATTTTACACCTGGAAAAGACCAAATCGCAAATGGGAAAACACAATTCTCATTTGTTCATTTCGTAGATAAAACAATATATCTATTATTAATTATTATTTGCATGCTCGCGCTTACAAACAGTTGTTAAATCTCCGTACAGAATTCTAGGTTCCTCAAAGCCATTCTGTAAGGCGATTAGCGTCTGATTATTGGTGAATACAAATGTCAGGTGGATTCCCTGGCCATAGACAAAAGAAACACAAGTTCACGCAGATTGTTATGTTTAAAAAAAAAAAAAAAAAAAAAAAAAAAAAAAAAAAAAAAAAACTTTTGGTGGATATTTAAATGCCTATGAAATGCAGCTCGTTCTCCGTATCCTTAAAACGCTAGCGTTCTTTGCAAAAGATTCTAAACGTGACACAGACCACTATTAAACTGTACATTGTAAAACTGATTTTCTACAACTTGTGATAAAAAAATTAAAACGCACCAATACCAAGTTATGAAGTCCAAAATACTTTCTTTCTTATCATTCTTATGGAGCTCATGACCGGATTACCTTTCTTAGTTTCTATTCTTTGTATTAAAAAAAATTAGTTTCAATTGTTTCTCTTGCAGCCATTTTATATTGGATCGTGGTTCATCTATACACCTGAAACACGTGCCTGAAGTAAAAAGTAAAGATACAGTAGGCCCACATACCTTGCTATTCATTCAATGATGTTCGTGGTAAGATCCATTGTGCGCAATTATAACAATGACCATTCAAAGTAAACAAAGGTATATCATTGTAGTAGATATATCACATTTTATTCTATCTGCCCTTTGAAAGACCTTGGAAAAATAGGCGCTAGTGAGGTCTTTTCTTCATTGTAAATCATCATAAAAGATTAAGTAGCACGTGATTTTTAAATCCCTGTGCCATTTTAAAATCATAACTATCTACCAGAAAGGTATGGGAACTCATTTGTTTTCCGCACATGTATTTATAGGAAAGAGACTATAATAATTTTCTATTTACTGCCATTTTTATTCCTAAAACCGTTTCTACCCTATAACCTTTGAATGGGTCAACCAAGACTAAGAGAAGCGTCTTCAATTTAAATTTCAATAACATTAGTAGGGGTGAATAGAATTCAGTGCACCTTTAAAGGAACGAAGCGGTTCCATCAAGTGCAATAAAAATGAAAAAGGTGAAGATGACACATAGTGATCGATCTCAAAGTGTTTTGAAAATGATCATCTTTTAAAATAATCACTTATAAAAACGGATAAGGAATTGGCATATGTGGTCTTGTTTGTCGTAATTTATGAAAAATATAAGGAATACGGTGAGTATAAGTCTGGGGCGATAGAGGAAGCTTGTTTTACTACTGAATATGCAAATTGTGATAGAATGTCTTTGTATATTATAATTCGACTCTAACTGCTATTTTTGACAAATCCTAATTCTACCTATCCAAATAATTGTTGTTTTGGAGGTCCGCGTTTGCTCTGCTCCTATTTTGTAATCTTTAATGAACTTTTGAGCTAGAATACTGTTCGTTATCTTCATATATTTCATTGTTATAAAATGAAAGCAGTTTATCATGTCAGGGTTGAAATACTTTTATATCTGACGTTATTTCTGCTTCTTAATTAGTTAAAACATTTCCCGAAGTCGAACAATCCTATAGTTAACATATTAGACAGCTACATGTAAACTGTTTATTGTCCTGCTCCGATGACATTTCCAGGCTCTATCCACTAAGTTTGGTCTATACGAAGTTGTTCGGAAAGTTCGTGGACTTCTGTCATATCTCTTTTTTATTTAACGTTATATGTTATCCAAATTTGATAGAAATATTTTAACAATAAATTCAAATGACTTGTATTTAAAATTTTACAAATATCATGATTTATTTCAAACTTATTAGGAGTTAAAAACTGCGAAAATTGGTTCGCGGAGCAGGTCGAAATTTAGTAATTTACAAACAATACCCTAAATAATGTCTGTAGTCATATCCTCTGTAAAATGGCTTTAAACAAAACAGAATCTAGACGATCAAATGAAGAATTGTTACATCCGTTTCATATTCCAAATTAAAAATTAATAGTTTGCTTCGTTGAAACGAAATCAATTTCTGAAAATAGGTAGTCATCAATGAAAACGGCAAAATAGATGACATCGCAGAAAGCCACAGAACAACAGTTTAAGATATAATTCCCTGTTGTACTCTGGAAAACGTCAGAATAAAATCTAAAAATGTTGAAAGTAGCATGAAATATCTAAACAGCGAGTCATATGTGTATGTAAATGGTGCAGGTGGTATTTGAATGATATAGACTCTGTTTCAGATGAGGACGATCTCTGAGGAAATTGATTATCTGTAAAAGTCTAACCAAAAACGTTCAGTTAGTAAGGTCTTGGAAAGAGAAAGACGCTCCATGCATATGGTTGCTGATCTTGTGAAAGCATAGTTAAGCGGTAAAAATAGAAAACATTGACAAGCAAAAATATGCTACTGAAACAATTTTTAGCAAAATAAATTTCAATTGATGGAAACACGTTTTAAATGACCAGATATTTGATCAGACTGTGTGAAATGTAAAGGGAGAATATTTTAAGAACCTCTTGACGCTATATTTTTGAAGTTATAATGCTAAGTGTGCTCCGGGGATATCAAACATGTTGATTTTTAAATGAAGTAAATTGATTTATATTAAGTCGAATGGAATGAAACTTCACACATCAACAAAACAAATATTTTTACACATGATATTGTGCTTATTTTAAATTTCTTGAAAGTAGTATAATGAAGATTGACATCGTCCACGAACTTTCCGAACAACCCTCGTAATAATTAGTCTTTGAGTTCTCAACTTAAGTAATTTAAATAAATAAAATCAATAAACTGTTTTATATCAACGAACAAATATTAAATATTAACGTTGTTTAGTCTTATTTATCCGCATTTTGACATTGGTGATTTATATTACGCATGCATAAAAGTTAGCTTTATAAGTCAGTTTTTAACAATGAAGAAACGGAATAAAACGAACAGTGATTGATATCTAAAAAAATATTCAATCACTACAAACCAATAAGGCATTAATCACGGAACCCGAAATTCCAGAGGAAGAATCAGGTTTTTAGGAAGAGTATGTAACAACTTATTAATTAAACACTGCAACACCATGGAGACGACGAAAATCGTGCATCAGAAAACTCCTTGAAAGCAACAAGCTCTTCAGGTATTCTTGTGTTGTAATTAATGGAGGACACAGGTCAAACAATTATTCTCAGAAACAAAAATCCTGGTCGCAGACCTACATCAAAGAACATGTTGAAATTGAGAGTGGAGTGTCTCAAGGTAAAAACGATATCCCCCCAATTAAAAGGCAAAAAGATGAAGAATTACATGCTTCTGGATCGCCCATTTTTCAACAACTTTATGTGAAGGTTATTTTTTTTCAAATTGTGTCAATTAATTTGTGAAATTTAAGATTGGCATTATGGCTAAACATTTCTTGAGATAAATCATTCAGAGTGGGTTCATTGTGCATTTTTAAATTGAAATATTGTTAAACTGTAAATATTAAATTACATTAAAAATTCCTACATTTCTTATATTTAAATGTTATGTTTTCTTGTTTGTTTCATCAAAGCCTTTTCAGTGCGTTTATTTGATCTGCATTGTCCTTTTTTCATTCTAATATAACCTGCGCTTGTCCAAATATTGTCTTATTAGATATACCTTCAACTCATTGATAAGGATAAAACGATGTATGACCTCATAAATATGTCTTAAGTAATGATTATACAGTAAAACTTGTTTAATCCGGACACCACCGGTTCCGAAAATGTTTGCCGGATTAGACAACATTCCGGATTATATTTTAAACAAAGGAATTTACTGAAAAAGGACTTAAAATTTACATCGTATTAGACAAGATTACGGATTATACAACATCCGGATTAGACAAGTTTTACTGTACAATGTATTGTGAAAACAAAATTCTGTTACCTACAATGCCTTTCAAGGATAAAAACTAAAGCGTTTCTTTGAAATCTATATTTTGAAGGTAGAAGGTTAGAAATCACTCAGCATTTTTTAGAGAGTGTCTGGAAAAAAAAAATTAATCATCTATAGGTCGAGGTAAAAACTCTTCAGGATCAGCTGCTAGGTCTTCAACGGTGTATTTGCGCATTGGTACACAGTCAACCTCCTCCATATTAGACTTTATCTTTAGGGGACCCTTTGGATCATCGTAGAAAATTTCTACACCGTCCCGAATTCCCAAGCTTGGATCTTTTATAAAATAGTTGAAAGGCAAAAGGAAGAAGCTTACGTCACCACCGACGGTTTGTTGGTTTGGTACCTCATCTGTGTGTGGTATGTGATGGACCCCTAGAGTTACCCAAGCAACCAGGTCCTAAAAACAAAACAGTACATCGAACAGTCAAATTATTTCACAGTACACATCAAATAAGCAAAGATGCTTCAAATACATTAGGAATTAATAGATGTATCTACCTACATTTCATTCTCTCTCTCCTTCTTTCTCTTTCTCTCTGATTGAGCTCTTTCGATGAAATCTTTGAATGTTAACAAGCTAATTAAAGTCAATTAGTCAATAAAAGAGTATTAAAATGTGGTTTACCTCTTGTACGATTGATTCATCGCCTATAAAATTTTCAAAATTGACAACACTGTCTTCCCCATCATAGGTGGCATATTTAGAGCTGCTGTATCGTTCCTTTTCTTTTCTTTTAGTAACGGCCAATTGATATCGCATCCATGAAGCGCCTGGCTCGTTTCCTTCTCCTTCCTTGAACATACTTTTGGCTACTCCTCTTAGAAGAAGCCGGTACGCCCTAGGATTACCAAACTTATCCCTATTCTTTTCATTGTAGAACACGTGATATTTGGGTTCGCTAAAATTATACCTAAATGCAGCTTCTCTCTCTGTAGTATAATTGACTTTAACTATTCTTGTTTGGTACCATGTTTCAGGAGACTTTGAAAATTGGTTTGGAACGCTTTCTTCTCGTATATCGTATGTAGTGTAGCTGTTTTTCGTCCCTCCAATATCGACATCAACCTTAAAATTAAACATGTGTTGATGAAGAAGACCGGTAGATTGCCTGTTCATCTGGAAACCATATTTACAGGTGTTTTGAACGTATGACGGCAAAGCTATCCCTGACGTCAGTACTTTTGTTTCCATTGCACCATTGTGATAGAAAATAAAGTCAAAGATATAGTCGTAATTTACAAGAGTAAAAATCATTCGTAGAACAAGTGCGGTATTAGGTGCACCTTCATAGTAGCCAGATGGATAGTCATCCGCTACATAATGTCGTCTGAGAGGTATACCTGTATTGTGTTCGTACACACATACAGAGTTCCTTCTTATTATTGGTACATCTGAAGATTCCGACATAAATGTTGAATCTGCAAAGGTAGCATGAGTTGGACAATCGACACCAGGAACTAATGTTTGAATGTCGGTTCCAATCAAAACCACAGTGTCAAAGAAATTGGCAAATCTACCTATAGGTTCAGCAGAAGAATAAAATACCGTTATCTCTGACAGACCTAATTCATAAACAATCAAATCGTTTTTGTATTTTATTTTGTAAAGTTGAGGACCATGAGTAGGTGATACTCCAAACTGAAAGTCCCAGTTCATGTAGTGAACTGACTGGCCTTTGATTGAGTAGCGCTTTCCGTCTGGTTCAACTTGAACTGGAGGTCTTTGTGGATGCGGGGGAAAGACCTTTATAGGATGTGGGTTCAAAGGGAAACACACATGGAGTTTATTTACCGTTCCAGTCTGCCATGCATCCTTGAATGCCTGAAGTGAATCAAACAGTTGGCCATTGTACCAGACATCTGCAGTCTGTGGTGTAGCCGTCCCATTTATCAAGACAAGAACAACAAAGTCAACAGGATTCAGAAGGCTTGGGCGTCGACTTTGAAAAAAAGGAAACCAGATGCCTCGAAAATTTTCACCACGAACACCCGACGCCACTGCAGCATAGGGGACTGCCGTTTCAATATCTAAACATCTGTCCCCACAGTTCAGTAGAGTTGCCTCAAAACTCTCTAACAAAATATCACCTACTAATCTCTCTGCCTCTTCTTTAAGAATTTCAATAGCTAGCGAGAATTCTGGATTTGTGAAAGGTCTAAAATGAAAAGGGATAAATCTAGGTCTTCCACAAAATCTAGGTCGAGGACTAAGCTTTACACAATACTCTGCAACAATTGGATTCGTTTTACCACCAAAAAATACCGTGACCAGTGCTTTCCTTGCTAATTTTTTATGATGCCTATACTTTATATGCTTCTTTTTAGAAAGTATTAATTCCATAGAGAAAATGTAGTTTGAAGACAAAGTTGCCTCACTTTGCATGGTAAGATTTAAACGTCTCTGAGCAAACATGAAATTGAAAATTGATTTAATCTCTCGACTTGTCAGATCATGAAAGGGTGTTGGGTTCTTAGGTTCACGGAGATCTATGGAACAGTATGACAGTCCACGACATTTTGGGCACTTATTAACGTCGCTTTCTTCAATCTGGGGGACTGCAAGAAAACAATAGTGAGGAATTAGGACAGCGGAGCCATTAGTTTCGCAGATATTGACAACTATGAAGCAAGAATTGCTTTTTATGTTTAACACTAATCTTAATGGGATTGAATGAGTTTTCCATTTAAAATCCTTTAACTTTCAAATGCATAGAAAAGCAAGTCAATAATTTCAAACTATAGAGGGTAGATAAAATCAGAAATTATTTTTTTCAAGCAAAGAGTCCACTTGTTATTATTTTTAAAGATTTCTTTTCTCCTTTTTTCAGTTTCATGATTTTTTAAATTATTTTTCCAATTAATGATCTTTATTTATACTGGTGTGGTACATGCGTCAATTAAAATAAGAGTCATTCGGTACATGTATTATGATCCAATTGTGTAAAATATACAGAATTCTTATGCAAATTAATTTTATATTCCCCCAATTTTGCAAAATATGTTAAATCGAGAGACGATTGTAAGTATAACATATTCTTACCTCCTCGTTGGTGTAAGTAGATGTTATTATATATTCTAACTGCTTCCTGGTTTTTGGAACCTTCCGCCCACTTGGCAAGGAACAAACCCACAACTGGCAGTAATATCTACAAAAAAAAATCTTTATTTGCCTGAGGTTCGTATCACATGATATGAGTACATTATTAAACGTATGACATACGATAAACTTATATGTTACATAGGGTAAACTTGAACTTTTACAATAAAGGTTAAACCATCTTTTAAAGATGTTTCAGTAATGTTTTTGAAAAGTAAGTTGAATCCTACGCATATAATATTGCTGGCAGAATTTCATGGTTTACACATTTCAAGGGCGTTTAAGACTTATTCATCATTAAAATGTGTTTAAAACTTTTTTTACCTGAAATTTATCATAATTGCAAATTTAAGGCGTTATGATGGTCATACAATCCTTCAACTTTTCAGAAGTGGAAGGTATATGTTAAACAAAAAAATATCTGAAGTATAATCAAGCAAAGTTGGTATATTAGCGTAAGAAAGCAAATGCAACATATCACTGTTCTGTGTTCTGTGATGTAAAGCGTTAGCAAATAAAATTTACCAAGTTGAACGTAAACATAAACACCAGAGCTCGAGCCCCTGTTTATAAATACAGAAGTTTCTTGGTGATATATGAAAAAAAAATGCTTTTAGCATTTTATTTTGAATTTTTTTTTATGTAAGTCTAAATAATTTTACTGTTATTTTCAAAAGAAATAGGAAAAAGGCGGACTTTACAGTCGTACATAGAAAAATATGTTTAACTAATGCTTCTTTATGTAAAACATTTGTGATTTTTTTTAAAATATGAAAACGAAAAGGATATTGTATGTAATGCTATATAAATTGCCATTATCATGATTATTCCAACATGATATTAATAGATGTGATCAAAGGAAACGGAGAAGAAACATATTGATATCAGGAATTGTATTTGCTAATGAAAAATATCCAAAAAAGTGCAGAAATTCAATGAAGATTCCAAACAGCTATGAATGATTCTTCTAACACACAATCATTGTGCTCTTTTATAAACCAATCTACTTTTATATTCTTATGACGCAGAATACTTATATTCATAAACTTTTACCTGAGAAGAAGAAAACACTTACTGAGACGACGTTTTATCAATTATAAATATTCACTTCCGTTCGTATGTCGACTCGATATATCCCAGTAAAATAGAAAACAGACCACTGACAGATAAGGTGATGTAATAGGGATTTCAATAACCTTGTTTAAAGTCGGCAATTCGTAAATTCTATATCATTATAGTGACCTTGTTAGAAAATATCACTGGGTTGTATTTTGGCTGAAGTTTTTCATAGCAATTCTTGGGGTTTTATTTTCAAACAAAATTTGACTAAAAAATATTCCGTCTACCTTGTCAATACATAGAGTATGATCGGTCGACAGGCGATGCTTTCTCCTCGTATACACCTGATTCCAACTCTAGAAGTTCCGGGCATTTGATTTTTAAGTCTTGTTTGTAGATTTCCATTGTTTGTAGATTTTTCTACATCTTCACCTTTTTCATCTTCTTAACTCATGGTTTGTCAAAAAGTACAAGTTTTTTGCATAATTTTCTATTATGGTGTTAATATTATTCAAAAATTTAAGCGATAAATAATTTTAAGCAGGATAATCTCGAGATAAAATACATAAAGACCCTTTACACGGACAGATTCTATTTTCAAAGAATTATTTTATCGATTGTTGTTTTAAGCCATTGTTCGAATGAATTACTCATATGAGACGCTCCCATATACCGGTTACGGGCTTTCAATTTAGACTTTCTTGGCACTCAAAGCCTAGAAGTGTAAGGGTTCTTTATCATGCCAATGCCTATTGTGACAGTGGACCCCAGTCTATCTGTAAGGTTACATCCGAAATACCCTTGACTTTCACTTCTAGTTCTGGATGCTTGGCAAAAAAAGTCACTTCATGGTTTCTGACTAAATGAAATACTCAGTGTATCTTTGCTTTAATGCATGCATCTTCTAAATTTAGATATAGGGGATTTAAAAGAAAATATTTTTCTTTCCTTCTCATAATTGTACAACTTGAATAGAAATGGTTTGGAAATCTGGCAGGGGCTATATTTTTGGTGGAACGGCGGCGTTTCCAAGTTCTCATTATTCTAATTTTTTAAATTACTACAGAATAATGAAATTAGCTGACATTTTGGAATTATCTGAAGCAACTAAAATTAAAAATTACGGACTTGAGTTTTACAACACATAAATAAAAACGATTTCAAAACAAAAAATACAACCCTGTTAACTTTTGAAAGCTTCGAATCTTAGAACAGATTTGAGCAAGAATAAATAAAAAAATTATTTTTCTCTCTCTCTTATTAACGATAAAGACATTTGCTTTATTTTTTTTTAATCTTTTTGTACCTTTACATGACTATTTTTGTATAATCAAGGGGAAAAAAATAGACGAATCATGTAAGATTATGAAAAAAATCCTCAAATGATTTAAGAATAGTTGAGAAAATTTAGGTTAGGAGATTTCTATGTTAGTTAAATTATTTATTTCAATTTCATACATCCTATATGTTTTAATCTTTTTTATAAAAATAGAAGAAAAAAAATTGGAAATAGAAGCAGGCATCAGAAAATTTTGACTACTAGTATTAATCAGTGTTTATGTCACGTAAAAAATATCGAAACCAAAGTATAATTCAACAAAATGCCCAAGGGCCTTACTGGTCACCTGAGTAAAATACTACACTGTAAAGGATTCACTAATGTATGAAATGACAGAAAATAATCTCGGAGTTTAAGACATGTTGCCAAAAAGCAATGCAAGAACATAGGATAATCAGTGATAAAAAAGATAGTCTAAAGTAGATCCATTTACGGTCCAGAAATTATACTTTCTCGTCTGTCACTGTCATCATGCAGACTAAACATTCAATAGCGCTTGAGAACATATAGTAAACCATACTCATTCCTTCACACATTGGGCTCTTTTGAAGAGTATATAATGTATGATAATTGTTTGATTGTATATTTTTTAGGTCCCATTTGAGAATCTTTCACTCATATAGAGACGTCACCATATGCTGGTGAAGGGCTTCAATTTAAGACTATACTAGGCACTCAGGGCCAATGAGCAGTGAGGGTTTTTTTTTGTCTTCTCAATGCCTAACGTGAAGCGGGACCTCTGTTTATAAGGTCTCATCTGAAAGACCCGTGAATTTCACTTTTAGTGCCAGGCGCTTGGCGAAGGAACAGTCACTAGCTATATTTACGTCTTATGTTTGACGCGGCGCGGAGAAAAAAAAATTCGAACCCTGTCCTCCCGATTACGAAGCTTTAATGTATAGTGAATGCATTTTCGCTATGTGACCAACAGAGCTTGCACTTAAACAGGAGCCCCAGATCCAGCGATCATGAATTTCAATCTTTTAAAAGAAGCATCTATGCTTGTCATAACCATGCGCTCAGTTTGTTTGCTTAATACCCAAAATCATAGAAGAGAATTTTCAAAGAATTTATGCATTTTCACCATGTAATCAATAGAGCCACGCCATAACACCCCTGATCCAGGGGCCCTGATGTTCTCAATTTTGAAAGAGACTAACGATACAATTAGTTTATCGGCAAAATACCCAGGAGCAGAGTATAAAATTTTCAAAGAATTAATGCATTTCACTATATAATCAATACACCCCCCTCCCAAGTCATAATCCCTGACCCTGTGGCAATGAACTTCAGAATTTTGGAAGAAGCATCCTTTTTCAACATATTCATGTACCTTATTTGTTTGATTAGGGGAAGAGGAGGGGCTTTTAAGAAAAATGTATGCATTTTCACTATATGTTTTAGAAATAAAAAGAGCTCCAAAAATTAAAATTCACAATTTTTTGTAAAGGACTAAATGCATATTATAATCATGGACTGTTTGATGTCCAGGAGTAAAGGAAATTTTTTAGGATTGCATCAATTTTGATAGTTTTGGGCGCACCCTTCATGTCCCCCGGGGGGGGGGGGGGAGATGAAGTTCATCAATTTTTTCCCCCTTTACCATAGATGCCACATGTTTTGATCATATAAATGCAAGTTTGAATTCCATTTTGACCTTTCATAACTTTTTCTTTCTTAAGTTGTCCATCAATTTTATTTTACAGATATGACATATGTTTGACAAAGCATTCAATTTTCCGGTGGTACTTGTAGAGTTTTCGTATTTAGTGTTAAACATATGCAATTTTCAAAAACTTAATACATAGTGATATTATTTTTTTCCCTTTGTCATAGCAACAAATTCACTGCAGAAATTTTGGGGTTTTTTGTTGTTATATTTGGAAATATATAAAAATGCATTTTTTTAAATAAATCAGCTAATCAGAATATCATGTCTTATTAGCTACAGGAAACACATGGATAAAGTTATTGATTTTATTAGAATTTTTAAAGTCTGTCCAAGCAAATGGATCTCCTTGAATATCAGTTCATCAAAATGTCATATTTAATTGTGTTTTTGAAAAAAAAAAAGATTTTCGATGAAATATTTGCTCCTTGCTGATTCTGACTCTTAAATATAATAAATATTATTTTTCAGAAAAAAGTCATGATATATTTTCTTCAGCCACCAAGAGATCCCCTCCCCTTCCTAACAGACACACACACACACAAAGGAAAAACAAAAAAGCATACCTTCATAAGATACATTCTGCTTTCTAGATGTGAAATGATTGTATATTTTCTGCTTTATATAGTCTAACGTAAACAAAGCAAACATTAGGTATGGTGAAAAGGTTGAAAAAAATCTTTGAAGTATTGAACTGTGACTGATGCGAAATTTTTTTCCCCCGAAATCTTATATATGAACTAGTGCAGAACAGTCATCATTCTGTAAAGAAATAATCTTACAGGGAGATTAAATGAATAGATGAAGTAAACCCAGCGTATTCATATTCTTTTTTTTATTTAAATATCAAATAAATCAAGTACTGAAAGCCTCGCTACAAATTTAACGTTTTGTTCTCGTCCAAATAACTTAACTTTAACATTATGTATAGTTTAATGTACATATTTTTTTTTCTTTTTCAAAGGAATATTTGTATTGCCTGATAAGAGCTACTGTCAGTAGACACTTAAAAAAATTAAAGTTCCTTTAAAAATCATATGTGATCAAGAATTTGAAATAAAAAAAAATACTGGAATCTGACACTAGAAAATATTAATAGCGTTGAAGTAGAAACTTCAGGTGTATTGTACAAAAACTTATTTGAGAGGTTGTTTTAGATAAATATAAATACCTTAAAGACGATTGATTGTATGTTGCTTTACGTCCCATTCGAGAATTCTTCACTCATAGAGAGACATCACCATATACATTGAAGGGCTTCAAATTTTGACCCTCACTCGGCACTCAGGGCCATTGAGCAAAGAGGGATCTTTATCGTGCCAACGTCTGCCGTGACACGAGGCCTCGGTTTTTAAGGTCTCATCCGAAGGACCCGCTACTTTCACTTCAAAGTACCGAGCGAAGGAACAGTAGCTACCCATTTTTTATCGACTTAGGTCAGTCGCGACCGAGAATCGAACTCACGACCTCCCGATCACGGAGCGAGCGCTCTACCGACTGAGCTACCGTAAACAGTACCTTAAAGTCGAAGGAACTCTTAGAAAATTTAAAATCACAAATTTCTACCAAAACCAATAGCATAATTTTGGACATTTCAAAACTTTATACAACCATTCCTCACAATAAATGAAAGACTGGGCTTTTTGATATCATAGACAAGTGTCTTCAATAAAAAATTGATCATGTAAATTAGCACTCCTTGTTGTTGGTCTTCTGCAAACATTTTTTGTTTAAGAAACATTTTGATTCTAGACACAAGTACTCCGAGATCTATATTAAAGAGATGCTTGAGTTTCTTATTAAAAACATCAAGGTAATCTTTGAAGATCCAGTCCTACAAGAGGCTTTTTGATTATCATGATTAATAATTAGGTCCTTTTATAGTAAGATTAAAAAAGGCAGTGATCGATCTCGAAAGTACTACAAACAAACAAATATGTGAACACGGGGTTAAAAACGGACCCTTGGATATTGCAGAGGTGGAATCAGGTGCCAAAAAGATTTGTTTTGTATTCATATGAAACTGACTATATATATTAAAAATCTACATGAAAATAAGGAGTCTCTTGCTTTGGCCTTCAATTGGATTATGTATGAAGATAACGATCAAAATTAAACTCAAACGTCCATGGGAACAATACAAATTCGTAGCAGAGCAAACACAGGCCTCTTAAAGCATCGGAGGTGGAATTAGGTGCCATTGAGACGTCGTATACGTGTCCTCTTTATCGGATAAACGAAAAATCCATAGACAATCAAGTGTGAAAATAGTAGCCTAACAATTTGTATTCTCAGAGGCATATTTGGGTTTTCGGGAGAAAATTAAAAACAAAGTTGGATCTAAATAGCAAATGCCAGATCGTGAAAGAGTCTACAATGTTTAGCTTTCAAAATCAGGCAATCATTCCAGCACGCTCTGACTGCGAATCCTAGCTCAAAATGTGCTATAACTAATTTTAAGACCATGCTGCGCGTAGTAGGTTTCCAACCCTTTTTTTAGTAGATCTTTGGGGACCAAATTCGAGCTAATGATATGGCTCCTATACATTTTAAAATTCATTCTCAGTACAGCCTGTTTCATGTTCACCTTCAAATGGTTAATGCTGCAGTAATCTTGATTCCCCCCCCCCCATTTTTTTATTTATATTTGTGTCGTTTTGTTTGCAATTATTTTCTCTTAAGCATATATATCCTTTGTAGTAATATTTTATATAAATTTTATAATAAATATTTTTGTGTTGAGAAATCGAACTGAAGTGATATTCAATGGCTTCCTACTATAGGTATTTCTATCACTGGGAAAATGAATAAATAAATTAGTAGATAAATAAATAAAATAAGTAAGCATTTAAACTCCACAAATAAAATGCTCTTTTTTTGATATTCATCAATTAACATTTTTTTAACATTTTGAGGTAATCGTTGACGCGTAACCCAGTGTGGTAAAATCTTTGTGCGCAGCTGGATCTTATCGTAGTGGTACGGGTCTGTCGTACATACATATTCTCAGAACGTGGTGGTTTTCATATTGAAATCCTAGTTGGAATGTACTATTTAGATAAGACGTGGCTAGAGTGTAAAAGAACTTGTACATCCATAAGGCACAGATATACTGGGGGAAATCTTGTTGATTGTTTATTTAATGTCTCCTCGAAAATATTTCACTCATATTGAGACGCCACAACTTGGAGGGATGCAAATGTAGACCTGTACTCGACACTTAAGACCTTTGAGCAATGAGAGATCTTTTTTGCAACTCCTTCTGCAACACGGGATCTTGGTTTATATGGTCATATCCGAAGCATCCACGTCCCGCAGTGGGATTCGAGTTGAGTTTCAACCCCCTACTCCACGACTTTAGAGCAAACACTCTAACCACTTTGCAAATATAGACGGCATCTACTAACAAGGTCATTGTATCGATCAGAGAATTTTCGAATTATACAGTATGTATGTTATTTTTTTCTCGGATCTCACAGAATTAAAATGAACTCATCAGTGTGTACTTTATGTGCAAAATAATACTGAAGTATTTTACAGCAAAAAATGAAACTGTTGTAAAACTCATACTCCTATCTAGCTGTGTATCGCTGCATATTTCCTGCTGTTTATTATTTCACGTAAATCTAGAAAGATTAATTATCCCAAAAAATCTTTCAAAAAATTATTGAACCTCAATGCGTGAAAGCTTTCAATGAATTTCGTTCTATTAACACGTGCTGAACAGCTATCTTTCCATTAAGAGAATCCTTTAAAGATAAAATGAAAGATAATGCCACTCCAGCATATCCTATTACATTA